ATTATGTTCCTTGTCAAGGGCATGCCATTATCATCTAGCACTATAGATAGTTACCTAGTTAACTAAGAGAAACATATTGCCTTCTCATATGATTGCAGGTGGCTGATGCTATGAAAAGATTGCAGAGGTGGGAAGGCAATACACCTCTGTTGGCAGGACAAGAATGACAAACATCCTATGGTTGACTTGTCTACATAATCAACAGAGACGGGGTTCGTTAGCAAGTCGATCTCCCTGAAATGTGTAAAATACGTTGTCAGAGGGATGACCGCGAGACAGAGAGGAAACCATAAGACAAATTGCTGACACCCTATCGGAGGGGGACTCATTGTATTTGTCATCAAGATCACCACCGAGCTCCTTCTCGGCGAGGTCCAGTAGTTCACCCCTTGGCTATGTGTTTACAGTAGTATCTATGTTGTCACATATTTCATATGTGCTTCAATGTCAAGATAGGTGTTGAACATGATTATGATTATCTATGCAATTCTTCCGGTGGATGTTTTGTTATGAGTTAAATTAGTCAATATGTTGTTGTTATGATGAATGGAATATTAATTCATGCAGGCATAGGATCTTCTTTCTATTAGTCTATTGGTTACCTCAAGCCGGATTCGACCCTTGTAGTACTATGACTTTTTTCCCTAGAGACCCTAGATTTATTGAACCATCCGAAGTATGGAGCTGGCAAGGGACATCTTACAAGTCCTTAGCATCTCAATTAGTTCTTGTTTGTCGGATCAAATAATGTGAGTATTAGAAACACAAAACTACTACCAAAAAGGGAGAAAGGCGAAGACAATATCCTACATACAAATGCACTTCGAGGCCCAACAAGATAGTAAAGCTACAATGTAATGATGCAACTCATGTAGGAAATAAATTGTATCTGATTAAATAACTAATGGATTGATGCAGGTCTCCATGGGGATCAACATTGATATGGGGTATTATCAAGATCATCTAGAAGGTCACGTAATCTAGCTTAAAATCAACACTACGAGACTTGTCATCACCAAGCATGTCATCATATTTCTCATTGTCTAGAAGAGCATCATGCTTTGTAGCAAATTGTCATCCATGCTTCTTGTTTTGTGCTTTTCCTCTTCTAGTTGACTATATGTAAGCAAATGCCTAGGTGTTGAACAGTTGTGAGGCCAATGCTCATCATTTCCACACCTAAAACAACCATATTGTTTATTACATGGTTCAACACTTTGTATATGCCTTCTTGAATTTTCATCTACCTCTTTTGTTTTACTCTTTTTTTTGAATGAACTACCCATATTCTTTTATCTCCCTTAGCATTGCCCATTGTCCTTTCTGCGACCAATGGAACTTTCAGTATTTCAAATGATGGAATTTACTCTAAGCATAGCATGGTACACCTGGGACAAGCACTATGATTCTTCAGAAGTACATTTTTCTTCCCTACAACCAATATGACAGACATAAACTCATAATAGTTGGCATGATCCATATACACGTATTGCTCTTTTTCTTAGAGGATGCATGTAATGCTCTCGCAATACCATATTTGTGGGATGGAAGGAAGATACGAACATACGGTCTTGTCTATAGTATCAGCATGGGTAACTTTCCCATTACACAATTTTAATTGAGAGACAACCTTGTTCATGGCTGAGTTTTATGATGTCACAGACTTGAAGTATTGGAAGTGTAGGTTTATCCATTCATTCCGTGCTTGTGTAAGCATGACTAGCCTTTGATGTTCGTAGCAACCCTTCAGGGATTTCCATAGATTGGGTACATCTTCGGGTCTGAGTTCAAGTGGTGTCTCAAGAAAAGCAAAGATTTCACATTTTTAGAAACAAAAGGGCCAATTGTCCTAGTTTTAGGCTGGTTGGTAGTCTGGGTGAGGGATCGTGATGTAAGAGAATCTTAGCATACATATCCCATGTGAGGTAGTTGTTGCTATCCATGGTAAGCTTAAAATTTTATTTTGATGTGATCCCTGACATTTCATGTATTATCACTGAATATATATTTACTTTATATAAATAAAGGGGCATGACGTGCGTCTGCTTCATTATCTATTTGCCTTATATGAAACAAACAAGCACCAAAAATATCCTAGTGTGCTCAAGTCTATGATCTAGAACACATAAATATTCCAGGATCTATTTTTTTTACCAGATGCTTCAGTATCTAGTTGAGCATGCCCTCGCAAAGACCTGGTGCTCTTGATTCACCAACAAAGAAGAACAATGTAAGCCAAGAAGAGGACAAATTGACATACTATTCCCTTAGAGAAATTCGTGATGATAATGTGTTGTGAAACTTGGGGAGACACAGGGGTCATTCGATCGCACTTACCAATGACATAATTCAGTCAAGCAGAAGAACAATGAACACAATATCTAGGGAGAGAAGCTTATGAGTTCTTTCTTTATCAATCTTTCGCGGACCATTGTACAAAAGAAAATGAGATACTTCACAGCCTACTATCTAAAACTCTCTAGATGGAAGGTTATGTATATATACCCACCCAGTTCTTAGCTCATAAGCAATCTTGCTTCAAAGTTTGCTTGACATCTTGGTCAACAACCTTATTGACTTCTCAAACTTTATCTACAAGATACCTGGGTTGGGAGGTGCTATCTTACACCAATGTATGGGAATACAAGTTTTTGGTCCCCCAAGTGTAAGTTTTTGTAGCTATCACACAAGTTTCCCTTAGTTGAGAACAATAGCCTCGGTCATCAATTCTGCAACACGGATCAAGAACCTGACTGTGTCCCCCAATGAGTTATGAGTGTGGCCAAAACTTATTTGCTAGTTGCAACAAGTTATGAGTGTGGCCAAAAGTTTTTTTTGTATTTTCAAAATAAGTAATTACGGATAATAAAAGTGCATGTAAAATTAAACTTGTTGTTGTTGTTGTTGCTCTCCAAGTAAGAGTGACTTATAAATATAGGAATAGGTACGTGCACTGAACAATGAGAGAATTCATGACAAACTATAGGCAAAGTTGTAATGTGTCTATAAGTCTATAGACCGACATCCATAATAATCATTCGCATCACCACACACTCATCAAAAAATGGCTCAATTATATTTTGGTCCCTAGTGAGGTAGACTTGACTTTGACATCCCTCGCTCTATTGATCTTTCAACTAACCTAACCAATGATTAGACAAATAAATGAAGAGCAATATGCATCTATATGGCATGAAAATCAACATGTATAATATGATCATAACGTAGTAATTCATCATATATAACAACGATTCACTGCAAATTACAATGAACAGATCACAATCATGTTAGGCAACTCATGTGATCATTGTATTGAACCATGCGAGAGAAGATGCTACTCCCTCTGTTTCCCCAAAGAAGGCATATATATTTTGTCTGAAGTGAAATGGTGCAAAGTTTGACTAAGTTTGTAGGAAAATGCATCAATTTTTTTGCGTAAAGGACCATATGCATGAACATATTGCCAGAAAAGACCACCCATGAATAGAGTTGCCAAAACTACTACACCGACAGATCTAACAAGCAACATGTGTTACTCTAGCCACCTCAGCAGATGGGGTAAGGCTTGCCGCCGTAGCCCGTGGCTGCAGTTTCCATATGACAAGATTTCACGCGTGGCGGGTCGCCGTAATGGAACGTATAGCACCACGTGTTCTTGTACATGGATCCAGACCGCACCGCCTTGAAAACACAAGACGACCCGCTGCTGCTCACTGGCATGCAACACTTCTCTGTATAGTCTCATGTTGGCTCCAGATCGAGTCGGCCTTGTTCCTCCCTAGTTGACTATAAAACTTCACTATATCCTTGCGTATGTTACACAAAATAAACCCAAATGTATGACAGCCCAATTTGGACCACTCGTTCCAACACAGCAGTTCACATGGTGCACACCGTGTGGTTCCATCGATCTGCCACTCGGAAAATCCTGTGATATGGAACCTGCGGTCTCTGGCAATAGGACCGCCACGGTAGTTTTTTGGCAGTTCTATTCGGAGGTGGTCTTTTCTGGCAATACACTCACGCAGGTAGAACTTTACGCAAAAAAATATCAAATTTATCAACAACCACAATAGTTTTAAGGTATGTCGATAAGGAAAAACTTACATGTTAACCCTGCTTTTTTATGGGAAGTTGCTTGGCTAAGAAGGAAACTTGCACGGATAGTTTGCTTCCTTACTCAAGGAAACTTGCATGGATAGTTTGCTTGCTTACTCTCAAATATTTTGCCAGGAATATTTTCTTCATTCTTTTTATGCTCCTACAATTTTCGACCTGACGACATTGCCATGGACTGCTAACGACACCATAGTTGCTTGAGAGCTTGCCACGGTGAAGCACGATGACAATTGGAAGAGCATGACGCAAATGGCTTGGACTTTCATCAAATAAGATCGAAATAAGATAGTGCGGCAGCCCTCCTCCAAGATAAAGATTACAAATGTACCCCTTCATTCGGTGCCCTCCTTTTCTGGTGGTACATAACAAAGAAAGGTTTACCTCAAGTAAACCTTCCTGATTAGAAGGCGGACTATTGTCCGTTATCTTTACGATAGTGGAACCCTACCGCTATAATGATATGAAACCGCAATCCTTATTTTCGGTTCGGTTACACATGATATATGATCAAATTGCTCGATTGTTTTGCATCTTTCACGGGTCAATCCCCTTTGCTGTAGAACCCTCGTCCTCGCCGGGCAACGCCATGGACAGTTGTGTCGTCTCCGTTCAAGGCGAGGTCCGGACAAGACTCCCCGTCTCGGCCACGGAGGTCCGGGTGTGCCATTACGGCATTGCCCTCATCTTCTTCACTGGAAAATCTACATACGCACCACTGAATTTCAAGCAACTTGCAAATAGCAAAGGCGCTGTCTTATTAGTTATTATAAGCTGGGTGATCACTGAAAACAACAACCTGTTTCAGACATCAAAGTTCAGCTAAACTATAGCTATAGTGAACCGTGACCGCCATCTGCCGATCCACACTCACTGTCGATCGGTCACACCGGCTCCGGAAGCGCATGGGACCCGGCGGCGAAACCAATGCCACCGCCGTGTCCGGCCGCGTAGTCCTCCTTGGCGTCGGCGCCCTCGACGTGCGCACCGACCGTGGCGCGGCAGACAGGGCAGGTGGGCGCGCGCGTGAGCAGCCAGCGGTCGACACACTCCCGGTGGAACCCGTGGCGGCACGCCGGGAGCACCCGCACCTCGTCCCCGGCCGCGTACTCCGCCAGGCACACCGCGCAGTCGCCAGCGTCCGCGTCGGGGTCCTTCTTGTCCTCCTCCTCCTCCTTGCCTCCGATGGCATCGTGCGGCCGCTGCTGCTGCAGGACGACCACCCGCACGGGTATCGCCTCGAGCGCGCGCTTGGTCTCCTCCCGCGGCGCCGCCGCCCCCAGGCCGTCGCCGTCGACCCATCCGAGTCCTTGTTGGCGGGCGTCGTAGCGGGCGGCGCGGATGCAGGCGTAGACTGCACTGAAGATGACGTAGGAGACGGTGGCGACGAAGAGCACGATGGTGGTGCCGCTGAACACCGTCTCCAGGCGCGCCATCGGCTGCGCGTCCATCGGATGGGCGGGATCCGGCGGGGACGCCGGCGCGACCAGGAGGCGGCGAGCGGCCCAGCAGCCACCGCGTGGTTGCTGCATGGTGAACTTGAGTTCTAGGTTGTGCGTGAAGGTGTGTGAGCTCGACCTGTGGTTTTAAGGCGGGGGTGGTAGCTAGCACGCGGGCATCCGGGCGAGAGAAACGGAAGGTGGAGGGAAGCTTCATAGCGTAGCCGCCCCGCTTCTCCGCGCGGCGCGACGCGCCGGGGCCTGTGTCTGCCCGTCCGTTTCTGCCGCTCAACGGTGGGTCGATCGATCCAGCCAGCCGTCTGCAATTGAGGCGGTGCCGCGCGCACAGCTAGAGCGTGGCAATTTTCAACCGGGCTAACTCCTTTCCACACGTAATAATAGACCATACGTATCGGCCGGCTGAAGCTCACATCGAATCGGCTGCCTCTAGAACCATTGGATCTGCACGCGAACAGCAAACTGATCAGCCAACCGTGCGTTCGCAACATGACAGCCAACCGCTCATTTGCAACATGAGGCATGTTGCGCTCACTTGGTTGTGTCGTGTTAGCTTTGCAACAAGGCACATGTTGCAAGCGCAACAAATCCCCAAATTGTATTGGTCTTCATCCCCGACAGAGTTGCGTGGAGTGTGGCGCCCGCCGACCGCCACGACAATATATAGCTATTGCCCTGCTGCCATGAACCCCTCCCCCCTCTAATCGGTCTCTCTGTAACATCATGGCACACCATATCATCGGCATTGCGGTCGCAACACCACCGATGTTGTGGTCACAACATCAACATCACAATCTACTACCAGTGTCCCTGCAGTCGCGCGACAGCCGGCCTAGCGCCGACGAGCCCCTCTTTGCATCATTGTCACGCCAGCCGGACTCTAGGAACAGCATTGCTTCGCAATGGGCATCGCTGCATCGGCTAGAGATACATGCGGGGGAGCGAAGGTGGTCGGCCATGACGAGCCCCGCTTTGCAACATCATCGCGTCGGCCAGCCTCCAGCAGCAATGTTGCTTCGAAGAAGGCATCGGCTGGAGATACACGCAGGGGAGCGAGGGTTGTCGACCATGGCGGAGCAAGCGAGGTAAGCACTCTAGTGTGTGCATGGGAAAGATGATGGTGTGGTGGGATGGTTAATATTGCAAAGGAAAAAGTGTGAAACATGTGGGTGGCCGCCGAAGGGATAATGAAGGGTGTGGTAGGTAGGAGTAGATTCATACTTAAGAAAAAGAACTCATGTATATCTCCATTTCCTTATTATTACCAAGTTCCATTAGGTCTTGTGGATCAAGCATGCCCACAAAATTGGTTGAGACTATTAAAAAATCTAAAATTTTGTACATCTGGTCTGCTTCTGCTTTGTCACATGTTTTTTTATGGGTACTGCTTTGTCACATGGTAGTAGTGTAACACCCCGGATGTAACTTTCCCAATTTGTACTCCAACTCTTGCCGTTTCTGGCGTTAAGTTATATTTATTTCTCGGGTTCGGATCTTTGTCTCCGTGTGTTGTTTTCATTTTTATGCATCTCATATCATGTCATCATGTGCATTGCATTTGCATACGTGTTCATATCATGCATTCGAGCATTTTCCCCGTTGTCTGTTTTGCATTCCGGCGCTTCGTTCTCCTCCGGTGGCCATTTCTAGCCTTCTTTTGTGTGTGGGGATTAAACATTTCCGGATTGGACCGAGACTTGCCAAGCGGCCTTGGTTTACTACCGGTAGACCGCCTGTCAAGTTTCGTATCATTTGGACTTCGTTTGATACTCCAATGGTTAACCGAGGGACCGAAAAGGCCTCGTGTGTGTTGCAGCCCAACACCCCTCCAATTTGGCCCAAAACCCACCAAACTCTGCTCCATGTCCTAGAGCGTTCGATCATGATCGCGTGGCCGAAAACCGCACCTCATTTGGACTCTCCTAGCTCCACTTATGCCTATAAATAGCACCCCTCCAAATTCGGATCTTCTTCCCCGTCCAAACCCTAGTCTAAAAAAAAGCAGATCCGCGCCGACGGACATGTCCGGGGCCTAGCCGGACACGTCCGCCGCCGCCTCTCGTCCACTCCGCGCCCGCCACGTGGCGCCGCCGACCGCCGCCGCCGCCGGCCCGCGGAGGCCCGCGCCC